ACAGTGGTTGCTTTCGTAATCGCTTCCAACATAAAAGCTCCTTAACGGAAACACGTCTTCTGGACTCTCTGCGTGACAGTTTCCGGCGAGGAGTGGGTGTCCCTACAGGAGGTCCGGAAACCTCACCACTGTTTTCGCTGGAAGTATCTCTGAGCCATCCCCCCAGCTCCCTTTCCCTCAGTTCAGCTTCTCTCCCCCTGCTGGTTTCCTCTTCAGCTGCTGAGTCTCTTCCAACCTGTCTGAGCCCTTTCACCTCCCTCAGTTCAGCTTCTCCCCCCTTGCTGGTTCCCTCTTCAGCTGCTGAGTCTCTTCCAACCTGTCTGAGTCCTTTCACCTCCCTGCCTTCCGATGGCAGTTCCCTGACATCCACCTCCCCTCCAGGGCCCCCTTCACCCCCTCTCGCCCCCTCCTCTACGGGCGGTGAGGAGGCAAAACCCCGGAATGAACTTCCTTCATCTTCCGATGTCTCGAACACTTCTCTCCACCTGTTGCGGTTCCTGGTCTCGAAGCACTCCTCCTCCTCCGAGTCCATCTCCCCTTCCCCTTCCGATTCTGGGAATCCTTCCAACTCCTCCTCCTCCTCAGTGGTCCCAAAGTATTCCCTCCGGAACCTCTCCACAGGCTGAGGTTTCCTCGGGAACCTTTGATGGAACGTTTCTATCAATACCTCGTCATTGATATCTTCGGCCATTACCCACGTGTTTTCTGACTCCGGTTCTCCTTCCCACGCTACCAAATACTCCACCTGATTCCCCTTCCACCTGGCATCAAGGATTTCTGCCACATGACTGCTGCATTCTCTTTCTTCTATGACCGGTCCCCGAGTGGCCATCCCTTCTCGTCCCCCCTCGTACGGTGACAGTAACGACCTGTGAAATACTGGGTGCAGTTTCATGTGGTTGGGTAACCGGAGCCTGAAAGCCACTGGGTTGACCTGTTGAATGACCTCAAAGGGACCCAACCTCCTGGGTCTTAATTTCTTACAACCTCCTTTGAACGGCAACCCTCGGGTTGACAGCCACACCCTATCTCCAACCCTTATGGTTTCACCTTCCCTTCGGTTCTTGTCTGCCTGCCTCTTGTATTCTTCCTTCGCCCTTTCTAAGTTGAGTTGGAGCTGACGGTGGATTGCTTCCATTTCTTCTACAAAATGCTCGGCTGCCGGTACGCTCCATCTCTCCCCTTCTCCCCTGGGAAAG